TTGAGATGGAGTCTCGGTGTGACGCCCAGGCTGGAGTGCAATGGTGCAATCTTGACTCACTGCAAACTCTGCCTCCTGGGTTCAAACGATTCTCCTGCCCCAGCCGCCCGAGTAGCTGGGACTACAGGCATGTGCCACCATGCCTGGCTAATTTTTGTATTTTTAGTAGACATGGGGTTTCTCCATATTGGCCAGGCTGGTCTCAAATTCCTGACCTCAAGTGATCTGCCCGCCTTGGCCACGCAAAGTGCTGGGATTACAGGTGTGAGCCACCGCACCTGGCCCAATTTAGTAATCTTAACACCTGGGGCATCTGGGTTACCTGACCTCTCACCTTGGGATGGGGATCGAAGGATCTCTCCCTAAATATTTAATGAATGGGCTCAGAATGAAACCCCTTCTCCATTACTCCCAAGTCCTCCGGGCTCATCCATCTCTTGTGCTCTGATATGACTTGGGGAGGCCAGGACTGCCCTGCTAAGCATGATCTAGGGTCCTACCTTTCCTATACCCTGCTACGCCAAAATAGCCAGATTCTCGGTACTTTGGAGCTGCCAGGAGTTGGCACAGTGCCCTGGTGGTGCCCCCCTTGCCTAGTGAGTGTGTGGGCAGGCTGCAGCTCCTCTCTTGCCTGGCACGGGGGAAGGAGAGGAGGGAGATGAGCCGTTGGATTTATTTAGAGCCTGATCTCCCTCCTACTGCTTCAGAGGGGGCCTCAGGGAGAGCAAGGAGCCAAGCAAGAGAAAGGGAAGTGGGGGAGGGTGATCAGAAGCCAGAGAGAGATGGGAGGGAGCAATGGGTCAGCAGGCTGCCCTCCAACACCATCCACATGTCAGTCTGTTCCTTGCAATAGCTCTTGCCTTCTCATCAGGGAAGGGAAGAACCTCCTAGGGCCCTCCAGCCCCATAGAGAGGTTTGTTCTCAAGCTCACCTTGGCACCCTGGGCTATGCCAGCTGTCCCTTCAACTGTCATAAAGAGGTGTCCACCAGAGCCTTAAAAATCACCTGCTCTGGCAGCCATGTAATTAGTCCCAGAGGCCCCAAGAAGATTTGGGCCCCGAAAGAGTTCAGTCCCAGAAACGGACAGTTGCCTATTCTGAGCATCAGCACTCATCTATCCTGGGCCTGGCAGCAAGCAATGGGAGAAGACTTGAACATACTCCCCTTTCCCACCCAGGGGTGCCCCAACCTCCACATCTATCAGGGGCCCTTCCAAGCCATCTAGTGGTCCTCTCCTAAGGAGGCCTTCTTACAGGACATGTGAGGGAAAGTTGGCAGCTCCAAGGGGCTGAGAAACTGCTCCGCATTCTTGCCCCATCTTTCCAGGCACTCTCCCTGCTCTCTGAGCTCCGGGAATCACTGCTTAATGAGCTGATTTGTCTCAGTGGGTCAGGAGATAAAAGCAAAGAGGAGAATTAAATATTTATCGGTTGCCTGTTTCTCTGAGCAAAGCGCTTCCTCTCCATCCCCAGTCCCTCAGCTCCTCTGGCTTCACCTCCAGGCCCTCCCTGCTGGGCAGGAGCTCAGGATGCCCGCTGCTCAGAGCAAGCCTCAGCAGGGGGCTGAGGAATGGATGGGGCTCAGTCACCTGGCCCACCCATGTGCTGGGTGCCCAGGTTTCAGCCTGGGAGAGAAACTGGGCTAGAGAAAGGGTGAGGAGATGAGGCAATGCGCAGAGATGGAGGGGGTGGAGGGGAATAACGGAGCTCCTCAAGTTTTAGGATTCCTCTGTCTGAAGAGGCTGGTCCCTGGCTCTCTGATGTCCTCTCAGCTCCCTGATGTGTCGTTTACTTGAGGCACAGGAGGTCCGGAATGTCTGCCTCCCCAACAGCCTCCGCGGCTCTCCTAGCTGTTTGTATTCAGACCCCAGAAATCCAGAATTTGGAACTCCAGACATGGCGTGTTCCCTCTCCAGATTCTCGGTGCCCTCGGCCTTCAGCCCTGCCCCCCCCGCCCCCGCCCGCCCCTCTTTCCTGGGCCGTGGAGCCACCTGCTCGAGCCCTTCCCCTACACTGCCCCCTCTCTGCACACACCCGATGCCTCAGGGTCTGAGTCTGGGTCGCTGGGAGCCCTTGGCATGAAAATCCATCTCCCCACATATCTAGAGCGTCCCCCTACACACCCTGCCCTGCCACTGAGGCGTTTTTCAAAGTCCTGAACTGGGGGAAGGGTTGAAGGGAGAGGAGGTGTCACCCCAACTTCCCCGCCCCCACCCTCACCGTGGGCACTCACCGCCTCCGAGTCCTCAAACCCGGGCACGTAGGAGTCGTCATACATGGGGGAGTCCGGGTGGGGGGAGCGAGCGGTGCCGGGGGCGGGAGCGACCCGGAGGCAGGGGCGAGGACTGCGGGCCGCGCCCGGGAGATGCCACCGAGCCCCGCAGCCCTGCGGGCGGCGGCGGAGAGCGAGAGAGCGCGAAGGAGGGAGCGAGCCGCAAAGACCAGCTGCTCGGAGCTCAAATCACCGCTCCCCCCACCCCACCCCCCCAAACCCAGCCGGTCCCACCCCGAGCGCGGCTGAGGAATCTGGCGCCGGCTCCTACAACAATAGTGCCCGCCCACCTGACCCCCTCCCTGGGAACAGGCGGGGGCGGCGAGGGGGCGGCGGCCACTGGGGAGCCCGGGCCCGGCCGGGAGAGGGGAGCGGACCCGCGCTGGGTGGAAGGTGGGTTCCCGAGCACCTACGGGGCCGTGGCGACTGGGAGGAAGGGGAGGAGAGGCTGCGGGCGGGGCGGATCCAGGCAGGGAGGAGGCGGGGCGAGGAGAGATGCGGAGACAGAGACGCTCGGCAACCCAGGAACTACTCCGCCGGGAAACAAAGGGCTGCGGCGGGGGAGGGAGGGAGCGCCGAGACCGCGAGGGAGACGCGACCCGGGCGGAGACTGGAGAGGGCGCAGGTGTCGAGGAAGCGGGAGAGAGAGAGGCAGAGGGAAAACGGGGAAGACAGGAAAATGGGGAGACCCTAGGAGACAGAAGAGACTCGGGGACCAGCGGCACACGGGGGAGAGGTCCCAGGCGACAGCAGTTCGGGTCTGGGCCGGTGCGTCCCGGAGGCTTCGAAAGCAAACCCCGCAGTGGTCGTGGGAGGAATGGGCTTGGCGCCCCCAGGCTAATGCCAGGACGGCAGCTTCTGCCCAACAGGTGCCCAGCCCCCTTAGTACGGGGTCGCTGCGGCAAAAGCGGTGTTGCCCAACCCTTGAGAAGGGGGGAACTTTCTGTGAGCTGAATAGGCCTCCCCACACCTGTTGCGCGGGTAGATTTCGTCTTAGTCCCGCCAGCACGGGGGTTCCCTTCCTCACTTCCCTGCCAAGGATTGTGCCAGACAGTGCCAAGGCATCCGTGGGAACTGGGGCAGAAAGGGGCTGTTTTAGGTGAGCCTAAAGGGAGGGGGAAAGAAGCCAGAGGGTGGGTGGGATCCTGGCTACACTGGGGTTGGAAGAGGAAAGGGCCTGTCTCCTTGGAGTTACTAGGGTAAGGCCAGATTCTCCCCTTAGCAGAGGTCTTGTACCACCCTGCACTGCTCAGTCTTCTTCATAGGAGCGCTGAGATTTGAGGTAAGAGAGCCCAACCCTTATCTTGAGGAAACTTCCCCCAAACACCCACCCATTTGAGCTCTCTCCTTTTTTCATCTCCTGAGCAAAATTCCTTCTTTGATTTTTGACTGCCTGCCTTTGTGCCCCACCAGGAGAATGTGAGTAGACAGGGGTTACACCAATTTCTCACATCCAGGAGGGTGGGTTCAGCAATCTGCTCATCCCTCTACCTCCCTAGGCTTGAGGGGAATGAGAAATCCAAAACCCTGACATGGCTTAGTAAGACCTATGGTAGAAGGCACTGGGCATGGGAGAGAGAAAGCTCACCAAAACCAAGCGGCTTCCCACGGTCACTTATCAGTGTTCTCTTGGCAAGAAAAAGAAGAGGCTTCATCTTAAGACTGACATATTTAGTCTGTCTACTGTGGGTGGCCCAGAGCAGCCTTGCCCAGCACCTTCCTCACACTGGGTTTGACAAACAACTTTGTTGCTGCCCCTATGGCTGAAGGGACTGTCACTATTGGGGGAGGCAGTCAGCTTTCATAGTTGCCTCTCCCGAGTCCAGCACCAGTTGGGTGCTGGTCATACACTGAATTCTTCTGTATTGGAAGTTCCCAGACACTGCTCACTTTTGTGCCCTTATCCAGTTACTCAGTGTTCCTTGTATTCCCCCTTTTCATCCTTTTTCAATTCCTTCTGTCTTTCAGAGGGCCGAAGAGGTGTCAAAGAGTAACACTCCCCAAGGTGCTCTTCTCCTAGGAGATGGTTCTAATGAAGAAAGCAGCGGCGGAGGCAGCTGCTTCCCTTTCCGTCCCTGCATCTACTCTCCTGGCCTCTCCTTTTGGGACTGTCCTCACCCACGGAAGGTGCTGGGGCTGTAGGGGACAGCGGATCTGCCATCGGCAGCACTCTTTCCTCACACTCCTTGTAATCCTCTGTGACAAAGGCGTCTAAGTCTGCTCCTGAGGCATGCGTTGCCACACCAACCACCCCCAGGAGATGGGTTCAAGTTCCTCATACCTGGGCCCATCCCCTGGGACCTGCAGGAGCTTCAGAGCTTCCCTTCTTCTCCTCATATCTCTGGGTTGCTACCCAATGCCCCTTTCATTTCCCATCTCACCCACACCTGCCTACTGCAGTTCTCATGCCAACTTGGTGACTTCTTGTCCTGTGACAAGGCACGTGCCTGTCAGTATCCATGTAGCCCCGAACCTCTTTTCTTTTTCATGGTTGCGCATAAAGGGAGAGAGCTGAGGGCAATAATGGATCAGGGGAGAGGACTCCTCCTGCTGATTCTTTCTAGGAGAGAGTTGTTAGACTGGCATCTGGCAGGTACCCAAGTCATGGAAGCAAGACATAAGAGGAAAAGCCTGAATAATCAGGTTTGGGAGCTGGAGTTCTTTGGAGGTTTCAGAATATATTCTAGCTTCTCCTCTAAGTGCACCAGGAAGCTGGGCAGATCCCAGTCCCTGGACACTGAATGGGGAAACTGAGGCAGGAGCTAAGCCTTCTGGGAAGACTTAAAGACTCCTCCCAGCAGTTTTTAAGATCTGGACCAGGTGAAGGCCCCTACCATTCTGGCTGCAGCCTGCCAGGGAACTCAGGGATGGGCAGCAGGGGAGCTTGGCAGAACCCTTCTTGTAATCTAGCCCCTTCTTCTGGCTCCCCAGTCAGTCCTCCCCTCCCTTCCTATCCCAGTACTAGGAAGCCGCCAGCTCTGGCCGCTCCCTCCTCTCTAAACCGGTGCCTCTTCCACCCCTGGCCTCACTTCCTCTGGTTTCCCTCCCTCCCCATCGGTCCAGCTCCAAACGCGTGCCCCCTTCCTAGCTTGGAGCGAGGCTCTCCTTCCACCCACTGGGGAACACCCCCTCCCACGACCTTCCCCCCGCCACGTTTACCTCGTTCAGCAGGAAGGTTGCACTGGAGTCAGAAAAAGACATAGACCAGGCTAGCGGCCTCTCCCCCTCCCCCGGGCCAGGGGCTCCGAGGCGGGAGCAGAACCCGGCCGCTGCTCTGCACGCTGCTCCCGCCTGCACGCCTGGCCTCGCCCCACGCCCGCCCGGCTCCGCCGCCTGCACCCTTCCCTCTCTCCTGGTTCCCTCCCCCTTTCTCCTCCCTCTTTCCTCCCTCCCTCTCCCTTCCTTTCTCGCCGCCCCTGTCAGTCTCCGGCTCTCCCAGCCTTTCAGCCGAGCCCCTCTCCACTTCCGTCTCTCCTGTCTACGGTCCCCGTCCTGTTTTTCCGTGTGTTTCCCACTATCCTTCCATCCCCACGTCGCACCCTCGCTCCCCGGCTTCCCTGCCCCTCCGCTTCTTCCCTAACGTCCTCCTGAGAAAGGGTAGGGACTTTGGAGCTTCCGCCGCCGCTGGCAGAAGGGCGGGAACAGCTCCAGGGCTGCCCCAGCACCTGAGCTCTCGGCGGAAGCTTCTGCTCCCTCCCGGCCCTGCTCCGTGCGCCGGGCGCCCATCCTTCAGCGGCGGCTGCGACCCCGACCTCGGCGGAGGAAAAGACCGACAAGCAAGAGTGTTGGTGCTCGGCTCGCCTGCCCCAGCGTTGAGGCTCCCATTCACCCCTCCCGGGCTGGGTCCTGTGTCTCCGGCGGGATCGGCATCCCTGTGGAGACCCCAGCCGGGGTCGCCCCGCGCCCCCAGAGTCTCTGCCCGTCACCCTTCTCTCCCAGGTTCTGGTGCCGCGGGTCTCAGCTCCGCGAAGCGGAAGGGCGAGGCGAAGCGACGCGGCTCCTTCCCGACCGGCTGCAGCGCCCCCTGGGCTCGCTGGCCCGGCAGCTGCACGCGCCCTCCAGGTGGCGGCACCGCCTGGAGTCGGGTCTCGGGGCCGCGGGGTCCGGCCCTGCCAGCAGGCGGCGCTGCCCCGGCCAGAGCAGGGAGAGGGGGCGCCCCCCGGATACAGACACCGCCCAAGCCCGGGACGAACCCCTCTCCCCCTCCTTTCTCCAGGAACTGCAGCCCCAGCTCCAGACCCCCAGTAGGAGACCCCAGGCTGCGCTCTGCTTATCCCCACCCCGTGGGGCTCCTTCGAGACACCCGCACCCCTCTGGGACCCTAGCCCGTCCCTACCTCCATCCTGGTCTCGAGGGGCAACCCTGCTAAGCCGGGCAGCGTCCTGACCGGGACTGGGCAGCAGGGAGTACAGAGTCGCAGGACTGCTCCTCGGGTCAGTACCCCTCCCGCCCCTTTTGCGGGCGCGTCAAACAGGACAAGCCCAAGTTCTGGCGGGGGAAGGGGGAGCGGGTGTGCAGTCCCAGTTGGCTCTCTCTCTGCACCCTTCTGAGCGGACCGACCGCTCATTGGTCCCTTCACACCCCCAACACCCCCAGGCTGGACCCTTCTGTACACCAAAGACGGCGCCTGGGGGCGGGGAGCGACGGATCCCCCTCTTGGAGACAGAGGCAAGCTGACTCGGATAGACCCAGGTCCCCAGCTTCCTCTCAGCATAAACTAGAACTCTTTCCCCTTTCCAGTGGAGGGCATCCCGCCCTTCTTCCCGGCCCTTCTTTTAATCCTCTTCCCCTGGGAGTTCCCCGGACCCCTTCCCTCAATCCTCCCATCCCTGGGGTCTCAGGAGACTGTTCCTCCCCGTCTGCTCAGCTGACCCTCTACTTGCCCCCATTTCTGAGGGAGCTAAGTTGGGGGAGAGTAAATTCTCTTTCCACTCCCGGCTTCTCCTGAGGCTGGGTTTAACCTGGAAAGTGCTTGAGGAAGGCACCTCCCCCC